GTCGGAGGCGGTGCGGTTGGCGCAGGATAGAGCAGGGTTTAGGGCTGTTGTGCATAGGGTCGCTATGAGTCGAAAACGACTCGACAGCACATAACAACAACATGAGTTGGAGGTAAGGGTTTGTTTTGTAATGGCAGAGCTAAAATACACATAATGGAAAATTTATCATTTTAAAGTGTTAGCTGATATTTAATACATTTCACAATGTATCATATGGTTACAAAATATTTTCAGCACCTCAAAAGGAAACCTCAATCCCATTAAGCAGTCTTTCCCCATTCTTGTACCCAAGTTCCTGCTGTTATGAATTTTCTTTGTTTCTCTCTAAGCTTTTCTTTTTTGCGTAGTTTATATCAGTGGAGTCATACGTATGTGGCCTTTTGTATCTGATTCATTTCACTGGCTCCTACCTTTTAGTTTAAGATTATTGTATGTTCTGGTGTATATTGGTAATACTGCACTCTTTTTTATGCTTGAATTAGATCTAATTGGTTTATATTGTTGTTTTGAAATCCTCCCTCTGTATTGCTCTTTTCTTGGGTTCTTTCTGTTTTAAAAGTGAGATATTGGAATTTCCCACAGTTATTGTGCATCTCTTCTTTTTGTGTTCTGTTTGTCTTTACTTGTCTATTTAGTGTTTATGTGTTTATTCTTGGCTTATCTTCTTTATGGGTTGACTCTTTCATCAGTAGATAATGCTTTTATTTCACTTTATGTAATGATTTTCTTCCCCCTCCCCCCCTTAAACTCTATTTTGTTGGCATTGGTGGACTTCCTCCTGCTTTCTTTTGCTTATTTGCATGAAATACCTTTTCCTTTCAACCTGTTTGTACCTTTGTATCTAAGGTGCCATTCTTCTGGAATTCTCTGCTTTCACCTGACATCAGCAATGAATGGTATTAGATGAATGATAACAGAAGAATATATAATTATGATTTATTAACAATGTAAGGGAATTATGGCTAACTTTGGGAAGAATGAGAATCCCATAACACTTAATTGTGCTCATACAACACATATACCCAGATCAGGAAGCTGTTTTCTGGACAGCGCAAGGGAGCACTGCATGGTTTACAATCAGGAAGGTGTGTTTCAGGGGGGCTGAGCAAATCATTCAAGAAGCTGGACTCAGTGAAGAAGAATGTGGCAAGAGGACCAGAGGAAGAATCATTAACAACCTGTGTCATACAGATGACACCTTGCTTACTGAGAGTGAGGAGGACTTGAAATGCTGTTGCAGAAGATCAAATATAGATTATATCTCAACATCAAGGCAAGAATTCTTATCACTGGATGACCAATGGGCAAAATCATGATAGGTGGAGAAAAGATTGAAACTTTCAATGACTGTAGAGTTTATCTTTCAGTATGGCTCTCCTAGCCATCTGAATCTGACCTAACCATGTTGATGGGTGGGAATATGCAAACAGAGCATGTTAGTCTCTCCAAAGTAATTGGCTCTCTCACCATTACACTAGGGATTGTCCAGTCTGTCCAGTAAATTGAATAGCTCTAGCTAGAGATCTTAGATCTTCAGACACCATTGAAGAAAAAAAAAAGAATGTAGGATGCCCTTCTGGCTCCAGCAACATCTACAGCAGCAACAGCCTCGCAGAACCGGGAGACCTGTTGTGAGACGGGATCTTGTAGGGGAAGAACAAATATTGGCAGGACTGAAAACAACTTGGACAACTTAGGATGGGAAGCTTGTATTGACAGGACTGACACCTCGGGAACACTAGTTTAATGTCTTGTGGCTAAGGTACCTGTGTGAACATTTTGGGAGCTGTCTTGATTGTGTTCTCTTATTAATCTAGATCATAACCTTTTTACTACCCAGTATGATTCTGTGTGGTCTATAAGCTATCACATTGGATTTTGGACCCAGCAAAGCAGTAAGATTAGTGTTGAGATGAGTAGAAAGAGGTATGGAGTGTGGGGGACTTGTCTGACCTCATGGAAATTTGGTTTTGTTATTGATGCTGTTGATTGGGACAGTTCACCTTTGCTAAAGGTCAGGTATGGCCATCCTCACGTCGCTCTTTTTACAGACTTTATCTTGGATCCATAGTGACTACTCTTAGTACTAGGAGATCAGGATACATATTTTATTGGCAAAGTCTGTAGGAAGGGACCTCTCCAAATTACTTAGGAGTAATGATGTCAGTTTGAGGACTACAGTGCACCTGATGCAGGCCGTGATCTTTCAGCCATTTGCTATGCATCTGAGAGCTGGACAGTAAATAAGGATGGCAGAAGATTGGATGCATTTGAGTTGTGGTGTTGGAGAAAGTGCTGAATATTCCATGGACTACCAAAAGAAGAAGCAATATGTATTGGTGAAAGAACATCCAAAGTGCTGCTTGGATGCAAAGCTGAGTTTCTTTTCCTTTGCACATAGTAAGGAAGGCTATTCCTTGGAGAGGCACATCATGCTTGGAAAAGTCGAGGGTCTGTGAAAGAGATGAAGACCTTCAGTCTGAGGGATTGACGGAGTGACAACTCTAGTGTGTTCAGGTGTTTTAGAAATTATGGAGATGGCACAGGATAGGACAGAGTTCATATGTGTTATTCATAAGGTTGCTGTGAGTCGTACTGGACTCTATGGCACCTAACATTTAAGGTGAATTTTCTGAGAATAGACAATTTCTTAAAACCAGTAAAGCTGTGTCCCTTTAAGAAGTTTCCAGTGAGATCTCCTTTTCTGAAAAAAATTTGTTGCTGGTTTTGCCAACCCATTGCATGTGTTTCAAATCCTCCATCTGCTCCACACAAGAACAATGGGCAGTCTCCTCCCTTGTGATTTACTGCCTCTGAAAACCTACTAGAGGGTCAGCTATCAGAAATGCAAATGTCAGTGGTACACAACAGAAGCAGAGACATAATTTAAGATTTTCTTAGTTCCACTTTCATCTTGAGTTGTAATAAGATCTTTCAATGCTCTGTATTGTTGAACACAGGCAGTCCTTAAGTTATGAAATTCCCCCTGTACAACACAGTTACAAAGCAATCCCGTTATAAAGCCTATTATGTTAAAAACGAAAGGTACATACAGTGTTCCATAATATAAAATGAGTGCTACTTTGCAGTATGAATCAAAACATTATTATTATTATAGTAGTAACAATGTTTTAATGTATTTAGGAGTGTTTTAGTATTTTCTATTCACAGAAAGGTGCAGTATATACTCAGACAAACACATAATTGACATTAGATTGGAATTAGACCTGGTTGACTTAATTTACAAATTTGACTTAAAAACAGGAACAGAGCTTGTTCAAAATCCAGGGACTACTTGTGTGCATTTC